TTCTTCTTGAAAATCGCAAGCAGTAGCGCCGCGAGACAGCCCGTGAGAGCGCCGGGCCCCTGCGCTCCGCATCCAAAACCCGCTAGATTAGGTCGCGCGTCTGGGGCGTGGACGCCCGGGGCATGGGCCGCCAGAGTGCGGCGCCCGTCCTCTCTGCTCCGCGCGCGAGTCGCGACCCGTCCGCGAGCTCCGCAGCACGGGCCCGCGGCGAATTGAGCGCGGACAGCGAGTGCGACAAATGGTGGCTTAGGGGGGCGCTGCTTCGAAACAGACTGCATAATGCGCAAAGAATCCAATTCTTCGGGGGCCAGGGGGCGTCGCCGCTCGCAGCGGCTGCTCCGCCCCGAAGCTGAATCGCGCTCGCATGCTGCGCGACGCGCCTGCGCCAATTCCAAAACTCGAGCCGCGCGGCGCGGACTTCGAAGTCGGCGGCGCCTGACCCCGCCGCTCGGGCCCGTTCTGCCGCGGCCCGGGGTAGGACTGGATCGCCTCCGCGCAGATTGTCTGGGGGCTTTGCCGCGTCGCGCGCTGCTGCTGCTGCTGGCGCGCGTGGTTCGATGCCCTGCTGCTCGCAGCGCGCGCCTCCAAATGGCGCCAGGGCTGCCGTGCCCCTGTCCGAGCTCCCCGCGCTTGCGGCGCGTCCGGAACCATGGCTCGCGGCTGGGGCCGCAGAGGCAAAGGCCGGCGCAGCCTTTGCTGAATGCGCTGCGCGGCGGCAGCTGCTCCGTTCCACTGGGCGCAGCACGTGGAAACGATTGACAAACTCGTGCGTGCGCTCAGACAGCGACTGCCAGATCAACTGGGCCTCGCCAACTTCAAACTTGCAGGAATCACGACTTCCTGTTGCCCCGGCGGTAAATGCATTCGTTAGCTGCCGGAGCGGCGAAGCTGTGGCAATTGGCCGGATGAGGTTCTCTAAAACACTCAGGATGCCAGGGTATGTTGTCGTCGTTCTTCCTGGAGACGCCTCTGCCTCCGGCGCGGGGTCGGTTATCTGACCAGAAGCCTGAGCGCGGCTCGCTTCGACAACCTTGCGCGTCAAGCTCGAGCCTGTTTAAACAGCGACGAAACGACGCAGGGCCACCCGCGCGCGCGCGCGTCCCGCGCGGCGACGTTCCGAGCGCGAATAAGCGCCGGCTGCAATCATAGCCCGAATCCGCGATTTCGGCGCCCGCGGATCCCTGCGAACTGGCAAAGCGAGCGCGCATCAGCGGCCCGTGCGGGGCATTGCGCCGAATCCTGGTTTGACCGCGAATTTCCCAGAAACCCGCTTGCGAACCTGGGGCCCTTTGTTTTGGCGCCGCGCGCGGGGGATGGCCAGCCAGTCGAGCGCAGCGCGGCGGCCTGCGCCCGCAGAGGCAGGCAATCGCCAGGGGCCTGACCGATCACCCGCCGTTTTTTTTTTTTTTTTTTTTTTTTTTTTGTTTTTTTTTTTTTTTTTTTTTTTTTTTTTTTTTTTTTTTTTTTTTTTTTTTGTTATTTTATATATATATATATATTTATATATATATATATATATATCTATATATATATAAACGCGCCAGGCACAACGCGCAGACATCCAACGCAACGGCGCAACCGGCGCATTCGTCAGGCGCAGGCGGGCCTGTCCGCAGACGGCACTTCAGGGGTTGCATTGCCGGGGCTGCAGGGGGTGCGGGGGGTCCACCCATTGGGCCTATAGGAGAACAAGAAAAACCTGCGCTGCCGCGAGGCTGGGCCTGTCCTTTGCGGCCGAGCCGGCGCGCGCGCGCGAGGTTCAAATTACTTGGCGCGTAGACGCCGTGCGGCGGCGCGCCAAATCGGGCAACGCGAAGCCGCGGGTCTCCGATCACATCGTTCTCATTGGTGGCGAACCTCTCAGCAGAGCGTTGGGGGCAGCGTTGTTATCGACGACAAGAACCATTTCTAAATCGACGAGGTCCTGGCCCAGGAACCAGCGCAGAGCGCGCGCAGCTGCCGCCAGCTCCCAGGTTGCGACCTGGCTCTTCCGACAGCGCGCCCAGCGCCAAACGGCGTCGGGCATCGCGGCGGCAGGCCGTAGATGCCGGCCAAACAGGCAGACGGCCCGCGCCAATATGCCGCGCCCCGTCGCGCCTGGGCGCGCTGCTCACCTGGCGCGCCCCGCTGGCCTCGAGCGCGCCGCCGCGCGCGATGGAGGAAGCGCGGCCGCCGACGAAGCGCGCGGGCGACGAGCCCCGGCAGCAGAGACGACGCCCCCGACGCCCGCCTGAAAAGTGGCGCGAGATGGGTTCGCGCCGCGCGGCCGAGCGCAGCCGATGCCCATCGGGGCCATGCGCCCTGCCAATGTGTTGGCTTCAGGAGGACACAGCGCTCCGCGCTGCAGGATGCAATGAATTTGCCCCTTCCTCCGCGCCAGCTTCGCATGGTGGACTTTCAAGTGCCCCGCCTGCTTTGCCTGGTCTACCTCGACCCCCCCACAATAGAATAGCTGCGCGCTGGGATGCGCGAATCCGCTTGGGGGCATCGAGCCCCCGGCCTATCGCCCCTCCTGCGCCTTCCCGCGCCGCTTCGCAGGTGCCGGCAGGCGACGTTGGAGGAGGGGCGCCTGGGGCGTGCAGATCTACGCCGAGAAGGTCGTCGGATAATCTCAGGGAGACCACTGGAAACGACGCTGCTCGGACCGATGGGACTGCGGCGCCGAGCCGCCCCCGACTGTAGACAGACCCGACTGCGCCAAAGGGCGCGCAAGCAGCTGCGGGCCCCGCCCGCGCGCTTCGCCCGCGCGCCCTCGTCGCCGCTGCAAATGCAGGCGGGCGCTGGCCAGCGGCGCAACCTTGAAAACTCCCGCGACATCTCCCGCGCGCAAGGGGCCGTCGCCAGTGCCCGCGGGGGCGACGTCGCAGAGCGCCGCCGCGGAGCGGTCCAACATGTCGCGTTGCACTCTCTCGCCTACGGACACAGCTGCGCGCGTGCTGGGCGCCGAACAATCGCCCGCGCAGCGCGCCTTCCACGGGCCTCATCTGTGGGGAAGCGCGCCGCGAGCGTGCGAGCGCCGGGCAAAAGGCGCCGCCTCGCGCGACCGTCGCTGGTCTCCTCGGCGCACTTCGACTCGGAAACTTGCCGGGCTGGCAGCAGCCGGCCGCCGGACTCGGCGAGGGGTCTCTGCGTTGAGCGCCTGAGATTGCGCGCGCAGTCTCGCCGCCGCTGCCGCGCGCTCCCGCGGCGGGATTAGCGGCGGCGCGCGGCTGCGAGGGATCTCCCCTAGAGGAGAAAAACCTTGAAGGTCAATGATCGGCCGGGCGCCGGGCTGCCCGGTGGCCGCGAGCATTTCAAACGGCGCGAGTGAATTAATTCTTCGTCGGGCCAAGAGCACCGTGGGCGCGCGCGGGCAGAGGTCTGGGCCTGCGCGCCACGAGGTGGGCCCAGCACGTGCGTTCGCTCGCGTCGATGCCTCGGGCCGTCGGTCCGCGCTCGGGTCAACGCGGGCCCCCCCGGGGCGAAGGCCCGAGAGAGCGAGGGGGCCGCCGGCCCTGGGACGTCGGGGAAGCCATCGCGCGCGGGCAGGGCCAGTGCCCGCTCCGAGTGGCCCAGCGGGCCCCTGTCCCAAATCGACGAGCCCCTCAGGAAACTATGCGCGCAGTCCTGGACCTTGGCAGCGCCGAATACATTGGGCAAGTCGGAGTGGGGCGATTGCTCGCTGGGCTCACCGGATATCAATGCGGCTCCGAGACCGGGGCCAGAGCCACGGCGGGGCCCGATGACGGGCCGAAGCCAGGGCAAATTTTGGAGTCAAAGCCGAGGCTGGCGCATTCTCGGGAACTGCGGCTTCCCCATCAAATAGGGTGGAATCCGCGCTGGAGCCACTGGGGCTGCTGCGGCGACTCGGAATCGCTCGCCTTTTCGTCTGCTGCTCGCCCTCCTGCTGCTGGCCGCCCCCTGGCGCCAGCCCTCCTGCGCAGCTTCCGCGGCCAGGGGCTGTGAGAGCGCGGGGGCGCCGCGGGCGACAGAGACGGCTTGCTCGAGCTGCTGGGCGGCTTGGCGCCGCTACTTGGCTCGTTGCCGCCCTCGTGCCCAGCGTTGTCTCTTTTCCCAGGTTTGCTCTCGCCGCCGCCCTCGCCGCGCGCGAACCTCGCGACCTCGCCAAAGTTGGCCGCCATCTTATCCTTGGCCTCTTTGGCGATGTCGCGGTCCAGGTTTGTGAAATACGCATTCCGCGCAACGTCGCTAACAATATACGGGGGTCGCCGTCTTCATAAGGATGAGCATCGCGCCCCGATCCATGACGCGCGCGTGGAAAGTAGCGTGCGCCGGCCAATTGAGCTCACTCGCAGCGCGGGCGCGCCTGAAATCGCGCATCTGGCGCTGGCGCTCTGCCGCAGAACCCTCGCCGATTGGCGCGTCGACGTGGGGGGCTCTCGACCACGCAAGCCGGGAGCTCTTCTGCAGGTCCTCCCCTGCCCTTCTCCCTGGCCGTGCGGCCCGCGGCCTCGAACGCGGTCAGGGCCTCCTCCGAGGGGGGCCTCACGTTTGGACGCCCCAGATGGGCGCGGAAAGAATGGGTACAATGCCCAACAACACATGTTGTCCCACACCGACAGCGGCCGCTGTTGGGCGAGCGACGCCGTGTACTCAAAGAACAACGTCCGCGGCGGCGCGGACAGCGTGTCCGGTTCAAAATGATCAGAAACTGTTGTTGCGCATCGTGCCCATTCTTTCTGTGCCCATGTCGATCGTCCCGATGGCCGAAAGTGTCCGGGTCGCAGCCTGCGCCTCGAGGTACTCTCGCACGGTGCCCGCGAGGGTGCTCTCCAGCGTCGGCGCCTGCGGCACCACGGCCGAGCACCTGCGGCGGACGCGGTGTGCAAAAGCCACCAGCGCCGGCTGCACGACCTGCGCTTGGAACGCAACAGGCTCGCTTTCGTCCGTGCATGGCGTCTCGCCAGCTTCATGACCGTGCCAGGGAAGTCGTCCATGCACGGCTCGCCAAAGTCGAAAGGCGAGCGAGAGAGGAAGGGACACAGAGAAGAGGAACTCGT